AGTTGGAAGTTCTGCAAGAGGCGGCGAATCGTTACCAGCGCGAACTGTCCAAATACGAGAGCGAAAGGAAGAACGACACTCAATTGAAATCTATGAAACAGCGCAAGGAGATGGCACAGAAGGATTTGGAAATAGTGAAGATGCGAACGAACATAGCGGATCTGCAAAACGAAATCACTCATCTGCAAGATTACTTGCGCGAGAAGGATAAAATCATCCATCAGATGCAAACGGACTCGGAGAGTTTGAAAGTGAACTTGATGACGATCAAGGAGAAAATGAAGGAGAGCGGCAACATCTTGGATTTGAGGCAGAAGCTGGAGGAGCAGCGAGAGATCAACGAAAATTTGCGCGCCGTTCTTGGAAGCAACGATATGGACGAACTGACGGATCAAGTTCAGAAGCAGCTGGATTATTCTGCTGAATTGGATCTATCGATATTGAACGCCCTCAACTCCTTCGACTATACCCAAATCAACGACTCGGAACAGCTGAAGGCCATAATTGCGTCTCAGTGCGCCGGGAAAGAGAAGTTCCAAGCTTACGTGAAGACGCTGGAGGAGAAATTAGCAATTAATGCGGCGACTCTGAGCAAGGTGGAGAGCATCTTGGAGGAGGAACGAAAGCGCGCTACTCAAATGCAGGCGGAAGGCGCGAATGTCTTCGAGCAGATGCGTCAGAGTCTGGAAGTGGCTAAAGCGAAGGAACACGAAATGGCCGAATTCATCAAGGAGGAACAGATCAAACGATCCGTGCTCGAAGTCGAGCTGAACGCGCTGAAGAAGTCTGAAAACGGGAGCAGCGCCTCCGGTCCAACTCAGTATTATTCTCTGCCGGATGGAGTGCAGCTGCTGAAAAAGGAGAATCAGAAAATGAAGAAGGAGCTGAAGGCGTTGAACAAGTTGGTCGTCGAATCGCAGGACAACCTGAAATTCACCAAGAACGTTTTAAACATGAAGTGCAAGGAAATCGAGAAGCTAGAGAAGGAAGTGAAGCGCTGCAACGAAGAGTTTTTAAACATGCAACAACAATACAAGTCGACCAAAGAGGATTTAGATCAGAAGAACAAAGAAATCGAAAACAGTCGTCAGCTTCTGGTAATTATTTAAACGTTTCATAATAATACCAAAATGCTAATTATTAATTATATTTATAGGCCGAATTGGAAGATGAAAAGCAAGAGAGTAAAGAAGAAAACGACAGATTGAACTTGGTTATACAAAATCTGTCTGAAGAGATGAAAAACCGAGTCGATTTCGAGACAAACAAAAAGATCGAATTATCGTCGAAAGTCTCCGATGAATTCATGGCGAAAATGGGGGTGAGTAATAATATTTAAATTTACATTTCTTATAATTTCTAATTCTAACTACAACAAAAATATGTATTTCATTAGGAATTGGGCGATCAGGTGAATACGTATATGAGAGAAAACCAAACAATGACCAAAACTTTGAATGTGTTAACAGACGAAAGAACTCGACTGCAGTCGAAAGTACGCGAATTAGAATCGCAGCAAACGATTCACTTCCCGTTCAATGATCCAGTTGGAAGGGTACGAGTCCACTATTCACTATTTAAATTTTTGATTTCTAATCATTTTCTTTGTAGGCCAATCATCTCTTTGGAAAATATCTCAGATCTGAAAGCTACAGGAAGGCGCTGCAATTCCAAAAACTGTATTTGAAAAATCTGTTGGAGACGTATCAAGGTAGCCAATATACGCCCAAGTATCCGCGCCAACGCTCTTCGACGACCAAAGGAATCCAACGATTCAAGTAAGTTTTAGACCAAGTGAACGCGAATAATGTGTATAATTGAACGCTTCTTCAGGATCGCTTGCTACGCGGTGATATCTATATATAGGATGCAGTATTTGGTGAGGAGGTGGCGCAGCGGATTCAGGAGTGGCACGTACATTTCGCCGCAGCAATGGAGGCCTCAGAATGTCCCCGACGAGACTAGCCTACAGAACATCCCCGTTCAGCCTAGGCTACAGAAATTCTCCGTCGAGCCTAGGCTGCAGAACTTCTCGGTTGGGCCTAGGATACAGAACTTCTCCGTTGAGCCTAGGCTACAGAACTTCTCCGTTGAGTCTAGGTTACAGAACTTCTCCGTTGAGTCTAGGCTACAGAACATCATTGAGCCTAGACTACAGAACTTCTCCGTTGAGCCTAGGCTACAGAACATCTCCGTTGAGCCTAAGCTGCAGAAGATTTCCGATGAGTCTAGGCTTCAGAACATCTCCGTTGATCACACACCATTAAACGAAAGCTACGAGGAAGTGATGCACGAAGGGACTACGTTCGTTCAGCCTCTCAGAGTTCAGGAGTCCTTTCACGCAAGGCCGCGCCATTGGACACCCTCTTGGTCAGGTCGCAGTCCTCCGTCCAAGGAACCAAAAGCCGGAAAGTCTTCGGCTCGAGATGAATCCGTGTCTGGCGTGCGCACTGGCAGCCTCGAATCGTTCATGGAGAGATTCGACTTGATTCAGCAGAAGATGCAATTGACCGTCGAACCCCAAGACTCGTAATGGGAATTTAAGTGTTGCTGTTGATCGAGAATAATTGTGCCTTAAACAAACCGGAGAGGATGTTACTGCTATTGCCATTTCGCTTCTGTACATTACGCTCTTGTTTTAGCCGTTCCTTTTCTTGTTGAACCTCGTTTAACGACAATTGTGATATTGTTTTATTATTATTACTATTAGTTTTTTTTTCCTCTTTTATCCTAATAAGTCTACTAATATTTATTTTATTTTTTATATATTGATTCTTTTTTTTTATTATTTGTACGCTTACAATGATTTGATTATAAATATACAATAGATAAACCATAATTATTGATTATTGATGTTAATAAAATTTTTGGGATAATTCACTCTGTATATTGCTGATATTGATAATACGATCAAGCAACAGTATCTGATCTTTTCATTTACTTAATTTGATGGTAATTAGTGTGCATCATTAATGTATCTAGTAGGCATTGCGAGGTAGAAGCAGTTTGAATTTAGCGGGTACGCAGGTGCTGCTCTCTATATCGATCCGTTGGAAGGGAGTGCAGGTATCTGTAATCAGGACTTGTACCGTCAATATAAACCTGTTTAGAATGCTAAAGTTTAAACATTGAAGGTGGATTTATAAATTTTATTTTATTTAATCGAGTGCGAAACGAAGGGCGATCATGGTAAGTGCGAAGGGCGGCGCGTCCGATCGTCGACACAAACGCGGAACAAACCCCTGGACCCGTCCCTTCCCATCGTCAACGGACAGACCTAACCTTAAAGACAGGATGATTTCGTTCGATTCGTGAAGAAGTGAAAAGAAGGGGGCTGCTGTTGCTGCATTCGATCGTCTTTCCTTTAAGCGCCACCAACAACAACAACAACAATTCCAACACCCACCACCGCACACCGACTCTCTTCCATTCCATCACCTGACGTCATTCGAACACGAACCCTTCGTCCCTTCGTTCTTTTATACGCCGCTTTTTTCACACACACATCCCCCCCAAGCAAAAAAAAATCTACCGTTTTGTGATCGCAATGCATTACTCTTCGTTCCAGGACGTGTTTTTAATGATAAGGAGGAAAAAGTTAACAATATTCACTGATGCCAAGGACACAACAACAGTCTTTGAACTGAAGAAGATCATCGAAGGTACCTATTTTTCTATTTACTTATAAAACTACTATGAACAATTCCGTTTGCGCAGGCATCCTGAAGGTGGCTCCGCACAATCAGGTGCTCTTCAACAAGGATAACACTATCATGGCTGATGATAAGATGCTGCAGGATTACGGACTGACCTCTACCACCGCTAAAGCCCAGAGCCCAGCCACAGTTGGACTAGCTGTCAGGTATGTTTTCATCAACTTCGTTTTCCTATACAGATTTGTTGTCCTCTCTCTCGATGGATACAACTATTACCTTCATCTTACAGACTCATATCTCAGTTTTTCGTTCAACGCATAAACCCATAAATACTAGGAATCAATTATTACTTTATAAACTAATCTACTAATTATCTTATCTCAGTTGTTCATTCAGCGACAATCAATGAAATCATAAATTTAAAACCCATAAATACTAGGAATCAAACGTTGACATTTAGGTTATTGCAGAAGCAACAATTATTACTTTATAAATTATTCTTCATCATCTACTAATTATTATTTAATTTAATATAAATGACAAAATAATTAACATATTTAAGCAACAGATGTTTTTTAATATAATTAAATTAAGTTCACGTTGAGAAGCTTTGATATTAAATTAAAGTAAATCAAATGTTTCACATAATTTGCAAATTTAATAATTAAAGTCATGTTAATAGTTTAGGCTATAAAAAATAAGATATTTGAGCATCTGTCGAAATGACTAGACTATTTGTTGAAATTATTCAGCTGAGAAGATAATCGTTCTTCAGATCTTTAACAAAGTGTAGATGGGTTAAGAGTACATTTAGTTGTCAGTTGGTAGATTTAGCTGAGAAGTTAATTCTTACATCAAGTTCTCAGTGAGTGGATTCAATTGAGCAGCAAATCTTTCTTCAGATTTTTAATGTACAATGTACATAAGTTTTAAGTGGATTTGTAAGGTCTTAATAGTTGCTTTTTTTTAAAGGAAATGATGGATTTGTTGTTTTTTCTTTTCTTTCATTGTTATATTGTGTGTAGGGATGAGAATGGCGTGTTCGAGGCCTTAGAACTGACCCCGTACTCTGCTCCGCCCGATTTGCCGGACGTCATGAAATCTCAGGACAGCGTCAACGGACAGGAGCAGTCCTCCTGAATCAACAACCCATTGACGTTACATTGTACATCGATCGATTTATCTCAGCAGAGGTTTCAACAGCAACAGCAGCAAACAACAACAACAACAATATCATTAAACAAACAAACAAACAAAAAAAATTAATACTATAATAATAATACTATAATATATACATTATATAACGATAATTGCCGTAGATAATTGAGAGAATATTTTAATTTCAACATCAAAATGTTAGAAGCGAGGAGAGAGAGGGACCGCGAGGAAGCGAAATTCGACACCCTCTTCCGATTGCTCATCGTGATTGTGGTCACTCTCTTCATACAGTTCCACGGCAGAGATGTTATCGTCGCTCTGCCCATCGTTATTTTCTCAATTACATTAGTCCACTTCTTTTTCATTTAGCGAAAAAGCACGAACCGAACCTCTCTCATATATACATATATATTCTCTTTATTCAATTTTTTTTTTTAAATTTACTCTCCTCATTTCGTTCTCTATTTATTTTTTCTTTTCTATGTGGGAAAAAGTTAAAAGAAAGATGATGAAAATGGGAAGAAGAAAAGTTTACGATTGTGATAGTTTTTAATTTAATTCTTTAATGATTAGTTTTCGCCTTTAAAAACCAAAAACAACAACAACAACCCACCCTCTTTTACTATTATAATTTTTTTTTTATTAATTATCTCTGATTTGTAATATTGATATTATTATAACCTTTTTTTCTTTTAATGTTCTCTCATCGTTGACTTTGGAATGGGTTTCTAATTTACAGCTGCTTCTTAAAAACTATCCTTTCCTCGTGGCGATGAATGTTGAATCTTGCGAAGAAAAAAATTAATAATTAATAACGGAATATAAATAAACAAGGCATTTCCTTTGGTCTCTCTTTTTCGTTTTCAAATCCGGTGTAGCCGTGCTTCGTTTCCACGGATGAGTAAAAACAAACAAAAGAATAAATATATATATAAATATGTTAATATATTTACTTATTGATGTGTGTGTGTGAGTGGAGTACGATGATGATTAGTTACTACTTTAACTTTATATATATATAAATATAAATAAATATAATTAAATTATTGTTCAGGAAACCAAATATGTAATGGACTTATTTTTTAGAAGCAATAGAATTGAGCTTAAGTATTGAATTAACAACATCTCTTGCACTTGACGTTGGCATGGTGATGATGATGAGTGCAGGCAGTCTAACAGTTCGTTATTCTTTGCTGACTAATAATAGTAGGAAGGAAAAACTACACTTGTGTTATTGAAAGCAAACCTATATAATATTAATAAATTGCTTTTAAAATTTACGTCGCCTGTGAACAAATCTCGTTTGTTTTTTTTTTGTTTCTTGTGTATTTATTTATATCAAGACGGCTCCTATTGTATTTGCTTTGCAAACTTTGTCAAAACTATTGTATTTATTCCAGGAATATTCATAGAACAGTTCAATAAATGTTATTAACACATCTCCATGACTCCCTCTCAACCAAATTACAATTTACTCTACCTACTTATTACTCTTCCTATATTTAATGATTAGATTTAGTGTAATTAGCAAACGCTAATTAACTTCATGAAGATTGAAATTGATCAATTTTAAATTCAAATTTAATTGTAAATTGCAATTTTATTTCGAAAATCTCCCGGCAGATGTCGCTTCGCATTAAGTTTCGAACGTTCGTTACTCCATAAATTAGCAATTAATTGATCTATAATTTACATGATTGAGTAGGTAATTATAAAACGAACGATTTGGTTAATAAGAATAATTGATTAGGGCTTTAATATGAACTACGAACTTTGCACTGGTGCGCCTAAAAGCAACGGTTCGTTTCTTCGCTAAGGGTGTCAATATTTCAGCCATCTCTGGGCGATCGTTCCAAGGTTATAGTTCAGCAATAGTTGCGCTGTTCTAAACCCGACTGCTTAATTAGAGCTTTAATTAGTGTTATGTATTAAGTAGAATGTGCATTGATTAATTACCTTTCTATCGATAGTTCATATTTGTTTCAACAACAATTATTTACAAAGTTATTAATGATTGAAGATTAGTTGACAGCTTCATCTGTCGGGATTTTGTAGAACCAATTTTTCATTTACATTTTTTCCTCGAACTTTAAACCAGTGTATTTCAACCTATTTTTGTCTATGCATATTTGAACTTAAAGTTAGAGACTTTTTGAAGCAATGAAGATTTTTTTTTTGTAATCTCTTTATGAGAGTTTTATGATATTTCTGAACGTAGAAATTACTTATTCTTTTTGCAGATGTAACAAGACATATTATTTGATAATAATTAAGGATTAAAGGATTAAGTCAAGAAGGAAATCAGAGGATGTAAACAAATATAATTAACTAAAATAAAAACATTAATAAAGTTGCGAATCGCATCAGTTTCAAGCGGGGTTTCTAATATATTGTAACAATAAAAAAACAACAATAAAAGTAAAGAGTTAAAGTAGATTTAAAAGTTATTAATTGTAAGATCAGATTGCGGCAATTGCTATGAATTAACAATAAATAACGCACGAAATAAAAACAACAAAAAATCATCAGTTTTGTAACTGCACCGAAACGACGCACTTCACTTTTCGTGTATATTATATATATATATTTATAATTAATCGTGTAATCTAAATCTCGTTAATCGCGGATTGGAGTGAGGAAGGGCAATAATTGTTTCGTTTGAAATGTTGGATTCGTTCATCGACTAAAAATAGAAGCCGAATCCGGCTTAAGGCTTAATACCCATTATTGATTGATCGCCTGATCTCGATAGGATAGGATAGGATCGTCGTCGTTGTATTGGGATGAAATGGGCCGCGATTAATCTAATCAAAACGCGCTGTTGAGTTGAATCCTCGAGAATACGGTAATTGCGGTCGCAATTAAAGGCTCCAACAACGACGCCCAAAAAAACTTCTTTCCTTCTCATCCTCCTCACCTTTTTACATATTACATTATATTTACATTATTATTTTCGCTTTTGGAAACGATGATGGATGATGCACGTGGCGTGATGGACCCGTAATTATTACAAGTGCTCGGGCGCTGCCGAAACCCATAAATTATACAATGTAAATGATTCCGCGCGCGCGCTGCTTTCCAGTTTGCAGAAGGTAATAATATCACACACACACACACTACCCCTCTCGCTACCATCACTAAATTATAGTGTGCACGAAAGGGACAAGTATAGGGAAACACAATGTCTCAAAGTTTCTTAATTAATTCAAGTGGGACTGATATATCTATATTGATGCTAAACTATTTCTTTTCATCGCACACGAGGAGCTCTTCCAGGTCGCTGTCCGAATCCTGGATCTTCTCGTTGCTCGACGATGGACAGTTGCTACGTCTCCACTTTGCTCTGCGGTTCTGAAACCACGTCTTCACCTGCAACACAACACAATTTAATATTCGCCCATTTCTCTTATATTATCGATATTTATTTATACCTGTCTGTCGGATAGTTTCAAGTCGCTCGAGAGGATCCTCCTCTCCTCAGGGCTCAGATACTTGTTCGAACTGAACCTCTTCTCCAAAGCGGAGATCTGCACGGCCGTGAACCGCACCTGACTGCTCTTCCTCTTCGAATACGTTTGATAGGCGAACGGCAGGACGTTCGCATTGGAGGAAATCGCGTGCATCGGCCAATACCTTCCGCTCGAATAGTTCGCTAAAACTTGATAACAAACAAACACAATTATGAGAATTTAGAAACAATTTCTTAGCTTCAATCATTCAGTTTAATTAATGATAACATATAAAATAACTAGAAGTAGAATATTGTAACTTTCTTTAACAATTTATCAATGAATAAGTACGAAATGGAAGCAACAAACACAATTATGAGAATTTAGAAACAAATTTTCTAAATATTTGTACATTAATGATTACAATATAAAAATAACTAGAAGTGAAACATTGCAATTTTCTTAATTAATTTATCAATGAATAAGTACGAAATGCAATAATTAATTTCGTTAATTAGATTAACTGGATATTGCGGTATAGTTCGCTAAAACTTGATAACAAAAAAAAAACACAATTATGAAAATTTAGAAACAAATAAATATTTGTACATTAATGATTACAATACAAAAATAACTAGAAGTGAAACATTGCTATTTTCTTAATTAATTTATCAATAAATCAGTACGAAATGCAAGCATTTTAATAATTAATTTCGTTAATTAGATTAACTGGATATTGCGGTATAGTTCGCTAAAACTTGATAACAAACAAACACAATTATGAGAATTTAGAAACAAATTTTCTAAATATTTGTACATCAATGATTACAATATAAAAATAACTCGAGTTGCTTCACAATTTGTATTAATTAATTTATCAATGAATAAGTACGAAATGCAATAATTAATTTCGTTAATTAGATTAACTGGATATTGCGGTTTCGCTCGTATCTTATCTTTAACCGTAAAGCAAAGGAATCCGAAGTATATCTTTAAAAAAAAAAAACACAGTATTAATATAATAATTAAATATTTCTTGGGAATTTCAATAGGGAAACCGCGAATTACACAAGCGATTAGATTTCGCGCAATCAATGCGGTCGTGCGAAGGAGATTCGTAATTAATCAAAATCGGTTTCAACGGCGCACCGGTTTTCGGGCTTTCAGAGCAATCAGAATGCAATTAAATATGAGGAAGGTGGAATCCAATGTAATAATGATGATGATGATTATATCCAATCGATCTGAGATTTTGTTACTTACATGTCTCGTATTGCTGTGCAGAATCTAAACAATCCGCGTACGGAAAATACGGCTTGTTCTCGTAGAACTGCTGGTACATCTTCGCGTAGTTGATGGATTGCCAGTAGTTGTTGATGGACGTCTGATGGTAATGATGGTTGTTACGGTTGGACCACGTCTGCAACTGCGT